GCAGCTTGAACAGCTCTATGAAGTCATACGTGGGAATGACCCAAAACAGAGAGAGGAATGGAGGAACTGCTACCCAAATCAGGACCCAAAAGGAAACATACTAATGAAAAAATCAGTTATTCGAAGTAATAAAGATGTGTGGTAGTCAAAAACGAACCTAAAGCAAAAAATAAATCACGAACGTCGCCATCCAACACCGCCTCTGGAAGCTCATAATCCATACAGTCCTCTGGAACATGTGGCAAAGATGAAAGACGAACTAAAATTAAGAGGGAAAAAAACAACTGTTACATATCAATTTTACAGTAATTATTTAGTATTGTTCTGCTTCGCAACATCAGTTTTCGTAGCCCAATCATGTACAGGAGAACCCTGAAAAACCAGCAAAAAACTTGGACAATTCACAGCGGATCTCGATTCCCGAATAACAATGAGGAAAAGTCAGATGCTCTACATAAAAGCTGCTCACCTGATAAAGCCTCGGATGCTGCCCTTTGATATCTCTCATATTCCGCACCGTTTAAATGGCTTACAGCTTCCAACATATTCGTTTGCTCCAAAAATGCTGCTGATCTTGCATTTCTCCTTTGGCTACATTCAAATTCTGCTTGATCCAGCATTTTTATCCTATCCGCAATTCTTGTAATTGCATCCGTTAAGCTTTTGATAACATCAGCTCGAGTCATTTCGGAATCCCCTGCACCATCTGCCCTTCTTCCAGACTTAGATGGGCTTGCTGTACTGGGACCCCTCGATTCTGTATTTTTATTTACTGATGTGCTTGCACTTCCCTCAGCAGCCGTAGTTGGAATCTGTTCATCAACCTGGATTTGCTGTTCGCCGGTACCATTCTCCGCATTTGCATCCAATGTCGTTCCGGGACCAAAAACATTATGCAAAGCATAGTTAAACGCAAGTCCAACACTGCAATAAAAGCCCGCATTATGTGTGCCGACAGCACCAATTCAGTCAAGAAATATGTCAAATCTTTCTTGGACTGTATAGTTTCCAATCACAAGTAATGAGCTCATAAAACTGAAATCAATTATTACATCTTCTTATGCGCTCCGGCCCATAATGGGATGTCTAATTCTGTATCAAATTTTTTATCTAAGAACGAATATAACTACAAATTTTAGGTTCCGTAAATGCATTTTACTTCTTTATACACTCAATTTTTCATCACATAAAATCTTCTAATATTAACTTAACTCCTGGCACACTGCCATATCGAATGATGATCGCTACGGGAAAATATAGAGCCCGAATAGTCTACATAATCAACGACCACACAAGCGAAGATCCGTCACGTCTTATGAGCACCACAAGAAAATAGGGTAACCAAAAGCATTCGAGAAATACCAGTTAGAAGCTATCCAATAAATGATACAGCTCCGATAACAATCTCGAGAAAGTCGCTTGTCCCGCTAATGGCATAAAAATACTCTCACGGTTAAGTAGTAGCCGATCAAAGTACTAAGATGAGCACCAGCAAATACACAAAGTGTAATTTCAATATAGAAAAATAAATAGCAACGTGCACCAGACTAGCTGATGCGATCATGCGTTTTGTGCAATTCAGCCCATCGA